GAGAGAGACAGAGAGACAGAGAGACAGAAAGCGAGAAATCACCCCCCCAGGGGGGATGGCCACGCTGCAATCCCTTCTCCTCCATTCTCCTCCTGGGATCTTGGGCACGCACGCACACGCGCCCGGTGTGAGTTTCAAGTTGCCGGGTCTGAGACTTGAACCGCGGTCGACCCTGTGGAAATCCAAGCGCCTTAACCTCTCGCCACCTGCTCCCCCACCGCCCTGCTGTCCTATTTTGAAGTCAACCCACTCCTAACCTTGAGCCCACCCTGCCGAGGAGGTCCTGCGGCCTTGTCTCTGCAAGGGCTTCCCGACCTCTCAGGCCACATTGGTTTCGAAGTCGCAACCTCGAAACCTTTTTTTGTTCTGTTTTATTATTTTTTTCCCTTTTTTTTTTTTATTTTTTATTTTTTTTATTTAAAGAAGCCAGCGCCGCTCTCTTATAAACGAGATGTGTCCTCCCGGGACAACTTAAAGTGTCTCCGTTGCTGCTTGCGGACGATGGATGCCGTGTCTCTGTGACCCGCTCCCCGTGGAAAGAATTAACCTCATGCCTTCGCCGACTTCCCTAATATTCCCCTTTATTTAATAAAAATGTTATGGTGACAAGTCTGAGCGGTCCCAGCGCGGCGCTGAAGCAGCTCGGGCCTGATTGGTGACAGACTCCCGGTGTGTCCTCTGTGTGTGTTTGGGCCTCCCTCCAACGCCCCGACCTCTGCCGGGCTTGGAGAGGGGCTGGAAGGGGGGCTTTGGCATGGGGGGCCCTCTCCGACGCCCTGACCTTTGCCAGCCTTAGGAGCTAGGAGGGGGGCTTTGGCATGGGGGGCCCTCTCCGACGCCCTGACCTTTGCCAGCCTTAGGAGCTAGGAGGGGGGCTTTGGCATGGGGGGCCCTCTCCGACGCCCTGACCTTTGCCAGCCTTAGGAGCTAGGAGGGGGGCTTTGGCATGGGGGGCCCTCTCCGTCACCCCGACCTCTGTCAGGCTTGGAGAGGGGCTGGGAGGGGGGCTTTGGCATGGGGACTCCCTCCATCACCCCGATCCTTGCCAGGCTTGGAGAGGGGCTGGGAGGGGGCTTTGGCACGGAGGGGGCGCTCTTTCCATCACCCCGACCTCTGCCAGGCTTGGAGAGGAGCAGAAAGGGGGGCCTTGGCATGGGGGGCCCTCTACGACACCCCAACCTTTGCCAGGCTTGGAAAGGGGCTGGGAGGGGGGCTTTGGCACCAGGACAGGGTGCAGCGAAGCACAGCCAGGACTCCCACTCTGGCGCCCAGAAGAGAGAAGGCGAACCCAGCCGGGACTGGGGCACCCTGGGGGGAAAGGATCCTGCCAAGTCGCTGGGCTCCCTAACACCAGGGAACCCTCCGCCCACAGCGGGTCCTGTCCTTGTCTCTGTCCTTGGACCTGAGTGTGAATCAGGTGACGCCCGGAGCCCTGGTCCCCGGGGGTTGCTATGCAGGGGAAATGCCTGGCAGGTTTGCAAAGAAGCTGCGAGAACCCCACACCCCCTGATCTTGGGGCTGGCCTCCCTGCAAACTGGCCTGCACTGGACAGCCCTACTGACTGGTTGCGTGTTGGTGGAGAACACCCCGAGTTCTTGGACAGCCACCCGAGAGGGGTGGCTTCTGGGATTGATTTCCAAACGCGGTCTGGTCTGCGTGAGTCGCCTCACCCATGGGCCAGGCAGCCCTGCGCAGTGGCCAGCAGGGCCCTGGGGTGAGGTTGGGGGCAGGGGACAGTGTCAAAAGAGGAACGCGATTGGGAACTTGGAAGGAGCCCCAGGGCTGCTGCCAGGGGGCACTGAAACCCTCCGGGGACTTCTAGAACATTCCAGCCCCCACCCCCAACCTGAGCTCCCCCAAAGAGAACCCTTCCGTGTGCTGGAGGCGTGACCCCTGCAGGGGGGCAGTGAGGAGCCTCTGCCAGTTACAAGTCCCCGGATCAGTTCACACCTCGGAACATCTTGTCCCCAATGAGCTGTCAGGGGTGCCGGGCCGGGGCGGGGGCGTCGGGAAGGGGTTCAGTGCCGTATCTAACCAGATCGATTTGTACATAACGGTGGAATGTTCTCTGAGGCCCTCTCCCCCTCCCTCTGCCTCCTCCTCCTCCTCCCTCCTCTCCCCCACCCTCCCCCTGGAAGAAAGGAAAATTATTTTTCGTATTGTAAACTTTAAACACGAAAAAGCTGTTTTTAATTTAGCAGAAACTGGCTTTGGAATCTCTTCGC